GCAGTACAAAAAAAACCTTTAAAAATAAACACCACCAAAGCTCATAAAGGTGACTGAGCAGATGTAAAGGTTGTGTCAGACAGCACTGAGGAGGATTGCACAGACACCTGTGTTACAAAAGCCAAACAAAGGGTCTCGACATGTTCCAGTATGGATCTTCTGCTTCCACAGAATGCTGGGTTTTATGGTTTTGGTTATGAGGGAACTAGAAAATTTAACACAGTAATTGCCTGTGTAAAGGACTGCAGCATGGCTGTGACTTTAAACTGCCAAATCCATCACCAGCATGGGCAGGGTGAAATCTCACATCTTGTGCTTCAAAGCCAAGCTACCCTGCAGTACCCATAGAGTCTTATCCAGCACAGGGGTACTTCCATTGAGCTGGAGGAGCCCTACTGTGCCATGCTGAGCTGCAGGAAAAGTTGGGCACTGACAGGGATGCAGGAGGTAGGGACTAAAGCACCTTCCCACATGGATTCCAGTGAGAGCTGCTTTGGGTGATTCCAAGGTTATCAAACTTGTCTTTGAATCAGGATTGTATTGGGCTGCACTAGATCTGAAATCAGTGTGGCCATAGCTGAGGCTGCCTGCTAAACTTGAAGCAAAACATTCACAGTTTCACTCCCTGGCAACCTCCATTGCAGGTGTACTCTGAAATAAAGCATGAGAGCATCAGCTGCCCTTACACAACTTCAGCAAGGAAATTACTTGGACACTTTGCTCTAGGCTTTGACTGCTGTAACACTGCTCACAGAATATGAAAGTCATGCTTGGCCACTCAAGTGGAAAGCTCATGAAGGCTCACTTCTCAAACTGCTCTAGCTAAATCCACAAGGTCAATGCTTTTATGGTCTCTTATTTGGGCCAAGCATGACCGTACCCCATCAGCAGGCATGGCACAGCAGCTGAGCCTTACATGAAAAAGCACAGGTACACATGACAGAACCAAGCACTTTTCACTAAGAAAAGCTTATTTAAAAATAAACCACAATCAGGAAGGTCCAACAGCAAATGTACCTTTGATCCGTTTTCAAGAGGATCGTGAGTATTCTTTCACAAATCCAAAATGCCCTATAAATTCCAGTTTTACTTTCTGGGGTTTTTTATTAAACAAAGGAGAAGAATAAAGGAAAGCAGTGTAATTAGATGAATATGCACACAACAAATGGCAGGGAGTAATTTGTTTCTGTTTTAATCAATTCAGTGTCAAATGACCATTCCATTGGAATACCTTCAGAGAAGCAAACAGGCAGCAAACACAGGGATTTGACAACACAGCAATCTGCTGTCACTTGGATATTCATAAGGAACAAATTGCTCCCACCTTTAGATTTTATATCATTTGTTATAAGAAGTCATAAATAATTGAAAGTCACATGATAAATTATTCAGCTAAGCCCACAGTTTCCAAGGAATCCTAGCATGAGTCTGGATTAAAGCTAAAATGCAAATCAGATGCAGAATTTGAGCTGACACCCCACAGTTTCCACACAGTGGAGCAGTCCAGGGAGTTTGGCTCTTGTCAGCATGTCCCTTCCACCACAGGGACACGTAAATACCTTGTGAATATTTATGAACTAGCAGTCCCTATTGCCTGCTGTGTGCTTCAGCTGCTTGCCCATACTTGGTTATGAATCAGTGACACTTAACCCAGAGCTTCCCTCGGCACAATTGATCAGGACATTCATTTTCTTTAAGTAAAGGTGCTGTCCTTCAAGGCTAGTGCTGAACTTATCTCTGCCATAAACCATTTTGTCTTTAACCATAATTACCTGTTATCATTAACAGAGAAGATATTCAGGGGACTAGCATAGAAGTGACTGCAGAAATATTACTTAGTTGTAAAAATGCTGCTACAATCCAGCTACTTTCTTTATACAAACCAAATTATCTGCTTTGGGTAGGTCTAGGGCCAGGAACAAACAAATATCAAATAATCCACAAACTAAGACATCATGTCTAAACTGGAACTAAGAAGCTTGCTTTTGTACAGATGTGTCTCTTGTGCTTAACTGACTTTAGGGTCTAAGATATGAATTCTGATTCTAGTTTCTTCCAAAAGAAGGGGAGAAATTGATAATCTCTCTCCTGTATAGATTGTTTAGTACATGAGAGACTTTGTTCATAGTGAAGAACCTCCCAGGTTCTGACCTCTCTATGAGGGCATTCTTTTTGTTATCTACTCTGCTGCTTTCACATAAATTGCAGGGACTTGTATCTGAGATATTTAACCCCCTGTCATACTCAATGAGAATCAAACAACAGGAACAAAAGTTCTTCCACCAGAAAATAAAATTTACCAAAAAAACAAACAATCAAAAAAACAACAAACAAAAAACTAACCAACCAAAAAAAACCAGATAGGAACTTAAAGCTACAGGCAAGGAATGTGTCATAGAATGCAACACTTAAGAGGGACTTGTAGTAAGGGATCTACATATGCTACTACACTTGTGGTACTTCATAACTTATTGTTTATAGATCAGGCAAGTCAACTATATCATACTGATCTACTATGGTATAAGAAAGTCAATAATCCTGATCCCATCCATACAAAGAACTGGAGAGAAGCATGAAGATGGCATGTACTTCTTAGAAAGGCAGGCACTGCTGGCCTGAAAATCTTATGTGAAATAAATCTGTTCGTTTGGGGTATGCCCCAAATAATCAACTCTCTCTTCTTCCCAGCTGAAGCAACTCTGTGCATAACACTTAACTCACCACAGATATGATCCTTGAGAGGTAACAAAATAGAAGGCACAACCTAAAACTGTTTATTTCATGCAGAAGCTTTGCTGAGCATACTTGAAATCAGATGACAATCACTGTTAGTCTCTGCATTAACTAATTCTGTAGACAGTGATTAATGGAAAATCAAGAAAGATATCCCTGAACAGCTCCCATAGCAATATGTCACTTTTATTCTGAGTTAGTATTCCTGTGATTTATTCCTATATTTTTTCAGAGTGCTTTAGACTATTGTAGTTTTCAGGAGATTACCTGTGGCTGAATTTACACTGTATATAACATTAATCTCAACACATTCTAGATCATCTCTGAAACAATAAAAATAGAATTCTAATTCTGCAGAAATCACAGTTTTGTTGTTTGTGGGTTTATTTCTATCAAAGTGCCTTCACTATTAAGATCATTCTTTTTAACCACATAGATTTTCATTCAAAAATATCTACAACATAAGCAACAACCAGACGGTTCCATATGAGATTATCTGAAAGCAGTATTGAAACGTGACTCTAGCATATTTTAACACCTTAAGAAACCAACATTTCTAAATCCTACACTCTGTATCATCATAAATATAATGATAAATAACCTGTGCTTTCATGCTCAGCTGGGACAGTATTTTTGTCATCCACTAGCATATAAGTGACAGAAATTTGGGGGGATTCCCTCGTCAATTCACGCTTGAGGCAAGGAAGGAATGAACTGTGATAGGCGAGCACCCCCTCGTGATGGAAGGCTTAAACACAGCAATGTGCATCTCAGAGCACTTGGGCTGGTTAAATGCTGATGTATTTCTATTGTACTGTGGTCACAAAAAGAGACTGATAAAAAATTAAAACTAAAACCAAAAACATTTCATTTGATATTCAGTCTCTGTCCTGAAGATAGCAGAGCACAGACTCAGGCTCATCCCTAACAAAATGCAGGTATCAAATGCTGCAGTCAATGAATGTTTGTTCAAGGCAATTCAAAATTCTTAAGAAGAAAATGAAAATAACCACTTAAAAGTTTACGGCATGTTCCTTGTTTTGAGGTTTGGCAGGTTGTGCTATAGCAGCAAATGTGCGAGACCCACATTTCACTACACTGTTAATATTATAAGAATGAGTTTAGTAACAGCTGAATTCTGAAGTGTCCTAGAAGCTCAGGTAGTTCCTGTCATCCCATTTTTTAACATAAAAATAAAATGAAAAATACTGGTTTATTCGTTTTAATGAAATATTTCATTAAAGAACATTTTTTTGAGAAAAGCGAAGCTAAGTCTGTGAGAAAGTCAAAACTGTTTAAGCAATGTGAAATAAAGCTAAAAGTTTAGAGGACACTAACCGTAATCCAAGGACCTGAGAAGCTGCAAACTGATGTAGAAGGAAAACAACTGACAGAATTATGTCTTGGTTACACTCTTATTAAAGCAATATTGCCAATAATGGGTAGCCATAAGCAGCAAAAGTGAGGCACAAATGAATCAGAAAAAGCCCTTTAATCATATAAGTGCTCAGTAATGTGTCCATCAATAAGGACCAGTAAATCCCCCCTTTTTAAAGGAGTTATATATTTCTGGCTGAGGACCAACTTGATTAGATGTTTCTGACTTTAGACAAAGAGCCTTACAAATATTTTTGAATAAAACAAAAATATTTATAGTTAAATTTCACTTGGTGTAAGTATCAAGGTAGACAAACAATTCTACACAAGAGGAAGTCCAGCCACAAACCAACATCAAACCCACACACAGGAATGTCAACACTCTGAAAATGTTCTTTTCTCATTGTGGCTTCAGGATCCCAAAGGGTTTATCAATAAAACTGATGAGACTTCTCCAATTTCAGGCAAGCTAAAAAAAAATCAAGATTTGCTGGCAATTGAAAAAAAAAAAAGTCAAACTTTCTACCAGTTAAGTATGCAGCAAATAGAAAGGCGTTTACTGGAATTTCTGTACCTCTTCCTTCTCAGGTTGCATTCAGACAACTCAGTTATAAAATTAGGTCATCAATACTGTACAGATTTTTTTTGAGACCCCTCCAACAAAGATCTGAGTCTTTACAGTAACACAGAATCAATTCCTGAATTGATCATCCAATTAAGCATTATCAAAAAAAATCTGCTTCTACCTTACATCCTCACCAAAGTTAGACAGTTAAGGTTGCAACGTAACACCAAACTGAGAGATGAGACACAAATACAAACAAAATATCTACAAAGCAAGAAATATGTTCCAAACATTTTTATTTAAAGCATGTGAAGGGTTTACTTACAATTCTTCTCCTTGTTTTGCTTTTTTGTCATTAACCAAATACACACTTCCAAAGCTTCCATTGCCAAGTTTCCTCTGAATAGTGTATCTTCTTGCAATCACAGCATCTGAGCAAGCAGAATTAAATCTGGCAACAGTGACATGCTTAGCAGTTTCTTGAAACTTCAGCATTTCTCTGTGTAACAAAAACTACACAAATTTCTCAAGGATGTAGCTTTCAAATCCTTTTATTCTTCCATGGATGTTCACAGAAATCACTTGAAACAGAAAAATATTGATTTGTCAATGTATATTTCTTATTAAACTTCTCATTTAATTCTGTGGCAGTGTTTACAGTACCCAGCTTGCAGCAAACACAAATTAAGTGGAATCATTAGGTGCTAAACTGCAGGCAGCAGACTTGATAAACAAACTCCAGATAAAGTAGATGACATAGTCAGTCTTCCTCTAAATGAACCTTAAATTAATTCACTGAACTGATAGCAAAGTTCTGCTAGATATGGCACTCTTCCTCACCACCTGTCTTTATAACACCACAGTACCTGACACCAAAAATATCTGCATTTCAGGATGCTAATTTCAAGATTTTTGTACATATTGAAGCATAACCTCCACTCCTAATTTGATTCTCTCCCATCTCTGTTTTCTCTGCTCTTATATTTACCCCTCAGATTTCACCATCTGTTCCTGTGCTGACCTCACAACTTCACCATGACTCACTACTAGTATCTTCTGCAAATCAGTTTTACAGAAAATCTGCAAGACTTCCAATCAAACCCAACTCTGCCTAAAGTTCATTTCTCCTTCACTGTGCCCTTTCATAACTCCCCTTTCCAACCTTTCCAACAAGTCAGCTTTGGTTGGGAATTCTTGTCTAACTGAGGTCCTAATTCTGCAAATATAAGGACTGCAAAGGCCAAGCTCTGGCATTTCTGTGGTTTTCAACAGCTCAACATGAGCTCAGAGTAACTTTGTTTACTCAGCCTTCCTCATTCCAAATGAAAAAGGGGAGGTGTTTCACTGCACATAACAAAACAATATTGTTTTCATTGCTTTATATAATGCTACATGCATCATTTTGCTGGAAGATCCTTTGGAACAAGCAAAGGTCTTGCAAGATCAGTGTTGCTGTTGTTACCACCCACCAGCACTGCAAAGCAGCAGGCCCACACTGGCCTTGCTCACCACATCATTTCAAGGCAAGCACATAAACAGGATTTTCCTTGTCTTGGTGGTGGTTTTGGAAGAGCAAAGACAAACTGCCTAATTTTAAAAGCTGTACAACCTTAGGTTACAGTCACTGGCTTCTCTGCCAAATGAATGCAGAGCCTAAATTAGGCTAACAGATTTGTATCTTGCAACAACAAAGTAAGTGTGTGTGTGTGCGTGTGTGTGTGTGTGTGTGTGTGTGTGTGTACAGGCACAAGAACCTATTTACCATTTACCTATTTTCACACCCATCTGCTGAGCTGCTGTCACACTGTACCAAAAAGCCTGACATTGCACTGTCACCATGTTATGAAACACAGATAAATTTTAATTACCACAGGACATCTTAATAATACAAACCCTGCATGTTTTTTAAACTACAGCATTCCTAATACCATTTCTTTGTTCTCTTTCAGCAACACTGACAAGAAATTTGAAATGCCAATGTTAAGGAAAGAAAATCAGCTAGAAAATTATTTCTCTGTAACTCCAAATCTGTCTGAAGGAGCCCAAATAGATCATGTTGAGGTGTAGAGGAGGGGAGGGCAGAAAGATGAACTCCATAAAATATTATGTTGCCAATTCTAGAAAGCTTGTGCAATTTTCATTTACTGTTATATTCTCATAATTACTGTGTTATGCATGCCTTCATAAATTCCTTTAGAAATAAGTGCACGTAGAAATTCTGCTGAGCTATCTATATTTTTTTTTTCTTTCTGAAGTCATTTAACATAGCTCACCTTCAAATTTTCCTACTTAGTTGGGCCTAGGAATGTATGACAATCCTTCACACCACAAAACCATGCTTAAGATCAAGTCGCTTACTGAGTTTAACTTCTGTGCTTTATTTCTAATAATGCCTCCCACCTTTCACTCTCTATGCTTCAAGTTCCTTCCCTATATAATAATAGTAATAATTATCATGTAACTTTGTGAAATGCTTTAGTGTCTGCTGCTGAAGAGTGTTAGAGGCAGGGGTCAGTGACTGCCATTGTGGCATCACAGGTGCATTTTAATGGCACAGCAGAGGTGGATTGCTGAGCACTGCCTCTGGAAGAAATGCCTTTTAGGAGCCAACAGACCTTAAAGATTGACTCAGCCATAAGACTGATGGATTCTTCAAGAAGTACATGAACCACAGCCTCTCCTTCCTCACTCAAACCTTTAGCCCAACCTTCCTTGTGTTCCTTTCCTACCAGTGTCCACCTCCCACTGAGCAGGTGATTCCCAAGAAGCAACATCAATTGCTTCAATAAAGTTCAGAACAACTAGAGATAGCACAAAGCAATCAAGTCCCCAGCTCTCTTTTCGTAAAAAACACAAATCTCAGTATACCCTATCCAGTATCTTTGGTAAGGAGTTTCCTTTGTGCCACGCACCATTCCCAAGTCCCATCCCAGAGCCAGGCAGCCTGCTGATGCCAACCAAACCAATGCAATTAGATTGTCTGGATCACTATTTTTTAATATTTTCTTCCCTGGCCAGAATTAAATCTTCCTTTTTGTGCTTCAAACTAAAGGAAAGTGCTGGTTAAGGTTTCATAGCTCCACCTACACATGCTGAGTGCAAACCATCTCAACTTCTTCCCTGACCTTTCTTAGTTTCTGTAAGATTAACCTTCAGGTTTCTTTAGCAACAGCTAAGATACTCTGACATTTTCTGCTTCCAAGATAATCCCTTCTTTGCCAATCAAGGCCATTTTCCAATTTTATCAGGTTTTCTTTCTATTCCTTACAAACCATTGTTTTACATTAACATTTGTCACCCTTCATCCCCTGCAGCACAAATTCTTAAGTCTTTAGCTCTAAATATCTTCAGTATTTACCACCTTGATTTTTTTTCCTGGTGATTACTTCCCCGGCCTGCTCCTTTAAAAAAAAAAAAAAAAAAAAAAAAAAAAAGACAAAAGAGAGATTTTCCTTGTTTTTTTCCTTAATGGAAAAAAATTTATAAAATTAACTTTTTAACACTGGCTCCGAAATGATAACTAAATTTTATTACTAGTGCTGGTAGCAGAGGAGTTTGAGGATGACGGTAAAAGGGGGACAAATGCACTCGACTGTCAAATTTAGCATCTCTCTGGCGCACATTCGGGAAGCCGAGATTCCCTAGCACAACTTCAGGGATGTTATTACCTTGTTTCAAGACTGTATAAGACTCAAAACACCGGGTAGTACCCACATAGCGAGGAGCGAGGGCGGCGTCCCCGTTCCTCACCCCTCCGGGACAGGTGGCACTCCCTGTGCCGCACGTCCCCGCCGCTTCCCGCCGCTCCAGCGCCCGTCCCGCCGGCGGGGCTGCGGTGCCTGGGGGTGCCCAGCTTGGGGCCGGCCTGGGGCCGGCAGGGCGGGAGCGGCCGCCGCTCCCGGAGCTCTCAGCGCTCCCGGGGCCCTCAGCGCTCCCGGCCCGTCCCGCGCCGTTGGCGGCCCTGTCGCCAGGAGACGGCGCGCGGCGCCCGAGCGGGAGGAGCGGGAGGAAGCGGATCCGGGATGGGAGGGCCATCTCCCTGCGCGGGTCACTGCCGGCACCGTTTCCGGCGCCATGGGCGTCCAGGGGCTCACGGGCTTCGTGGAGGAGCGCGGCGTGTTCTTCACCGAGCTGCGGGTGCGGGACACCAAGCTGGTCATCGACGGCAGCAGCCTCTACCACTGCCTCTGCTTCGCCCCCGACGCCGACTTCCGACGCGGCGGCGACTACGGAGCCTTCGCCGCGGCCGTGCGCGACTTCTTCGGCGTGCTGCGGGCCTGCGGCGTGGCGCCCTTCGTGGTGCTGGACGGCGGGCGCGGCGCCGAGGACAGGAAGCTGCCCACGCTGCGGGGCCGCGCCGCCGAGCAGCTGCGGGCGGCCCACGGGCTGTCCCGGGGCGCGGGCGGCTGCCTGGCGCCGCTGCTGACCCGCGAGGCCTTCGTGCAGGCGCTGGGCCGGCTCGGCGTGCCCTTCGTGCAGTGCTTCGCCGAGGCCGACCGGGAGATCGCCGGGCTGGCCAACCGCTGGGGCTGCCCCGTGCTCTCCCTCGACAGCGACTTCTTCGTGTTCGACCTGGCGGGCGGCTACTGCCCGCTGTCCCACTTCCAGTGGCGGAGCGTGCGCGTCCCCGCCGCCGCCGCGCCGCACGGGTGCTTCGTGCCCGCGCGCCGCTACTCCGTCGAGCGCTTCTGCGGGCACTTCGGCAGCCTGAGCAAGGCGCTGCTCCCGCTCTTCGCCGTCATGCACGGCAACGACTTCGTGGGCCTGGAGGCGCTGGAGGCCTTCTTCAGCAAGGTGCGCCTGCCGAGGGGCTGCGCGGCGGGCAGGGGCGGCAGGCACCTCCGCCTCCAGGGGCTGCTGAACTGGCTGGCGCAGTTTGCGGAGCCCGCCGAGGCCGTGGACAACGTGCTGAAATACCTCAAGAAACACCAGAGGGAAGAAATACGGGAGCTTCTGTGCACTTCCATGGAGGACTATGCTCCGTCCGACGTGAATCTCGAGGACTTCTTTCAGAATGGGAGCTATGAGTGCGAGGCTGCCAGGAAAGCAGACGTGCCACAGTGGGTACTTGATGCTTTTGCGAAAGGTAAGCTGGCCCCGTTCGTCATCAATGCCCTGATCCTTAGAAGTACCTTCCTCCGCGTTCAGGTGGAGAACATGCAGCGACCCAGTGCTCATGGCACGGCTTTGCCCATCCGACAAGTTATCTATGGACTGCTTCTGAGAGTATCTCACAGTACTGAAGATGCCTCTCCAAGTAAGCAGACCAACGAGCTGCCCGTTGTATGTGAATTTGACAGATGCCAAAAGACACTTAAAAAAACATTTGTTCAAGCAGCAAGCCTACCCCCAGATTTTTGTGATGATCGTTTTCCTTTGGACAAGTTAATGGAGGTAAATGGTTGTCACAACAGATCATAGTTAACAGTGTGTCACGAGTGACACAAAAACAGTAACTACTGTAACACAGAAGTATCTGTGATACGAAGCTACATCAGGTTGTCTTCACTTCCTTTGCTTCCTGCCCCCTCCAAGTGTACTAAGACAAATTATGAGAAGTTGTAGTCTGTGTGTATATGCAATACTCCCTGCATTTTTCATTGGAAGCCCTTATTTCATCCTATGTATTGTTAAACTAATACTTGCTTTTTTGGGAAAGGATTTCAGTTTCATGTAGTTTAGGAAAGTCTGATTTTAGCACTACAAAACCTAATTAGTATTTGATCAAGTTGTGTAATGTTTCAGAGCAGTGTTCTGAAACAAAATCTGACCCATGCCTTTTTACTAGAAGCCATTATTCCAAGTGTGAATGCTGCAGCTACCCAGCAGCTTTACCTGCCCCGAGTATGCTCCTGCTAACATGGCTCTCATGCTTGCCAGACAGAGCAGAACAGCACCTGAGCAACACCTGTAAACCACAGGAAAATTGTACTAGGTTAGTTCCAGTCACCATTGTAGCACTTAAATGTAAATTCTAATGGTTAAGACTGTAACTCTTGCCATAATGGGAAGTAATCTGCCATTCTCGAAGTTGCATAACTGAGGTATTGTATGCAGAAATTTCTGCATACAAATTGTCCAGAAATACAATCAATATGTTTTAATTCTGCATTTTTAAGGCACATATGCTCTATCCATTCTGGCAGTCAGATTGACTGTTGACATATTGAATGTTGAAT